TGTTCCCTTCTGCTTGATGAGCTGGTGTGCGAACATGACAGGTACTGGCAATGCCAACACAACTGCCATTATGATTCCAATCACCTTTGCATATTCAGGGTAGATGTACTCGCCATAGCTTGGAGGATCGTAGAGAAACAGGGAAAGAATCAGGGACGCCTGTGACGGATAAGCAGAAACTGTATGAAGCTGTTAGAACATCAAGGCAGTTATATCATGGAAAATCAGCTTCATATAAACAGAAAGCAAGAGCCCGCTGCATGGATAATGTCAAATGGCAATTTGGAAGTAACCTGGTTGGTCTTAACGCCAGTATGAACAGTTTGGAAGTCTCATGGTGAACATATATTTCGAAACGAAAGCCGGAACAAATACGTGAATATGACAAATGTCGATTTGGAGAAACCACAACTTCGAATATGGTGCTAACGATCCCGAGATCACACGATTCTGGTCATCCCTAGCGGCACAACTCTGAACAAGGAATCGTGATACAAGACAAATCTTATGGATAACAACTTCTTGATTTATCTTACACAACGTTTCTGGGCTAGTTCTTGCCCCTTCGTCAGGTGGACGAGGGGCAAGAACTAGACCAGAAACGCTGTGTAAAATAAATCAAGAAGTTACGTATGTTATATTTGGGATTACACTTTCTTAGTAAAGTACAGACTCTAGTACCTTTTTTGGGCTGAGTCCCATTCGGGATTCGAACCCACACCCAAATCAAGAAGTTGTTATCCATAAGATTTGTCTTGTATTACTACACCAACTTCTAAATGCCTTTGAAGAATTTCAAGGAATCGTGAGTCCCACATGAGTAGGGCACCTGTGCTGTCACACCAGTGATGCGGGTACTTGTTGATGTGTATGTAATGTCTGTTGTACACAGCCTGAAATACACCCTTATAACAGAAAGTATCTTCCTTCCCTGAGCTTACACTGATGCCTATTGCATTATGTTCACAAATAACGAATCACCTAAGTACTCACATCAGCAGGTACTAAGATAAGTTATGACTCAATAATCACAAATGTATCTCAGTATCGGATGCATGACCCTTTTTGAGCAGGAACTTTGATAGTCAGCATTGCTTAAATGAGGCATTATTTTAACGTGGTCTGTTTAAAGCTGAACTTACGAAGAGGATGACAGGGGTGAAATAGGAAGACAAAACGTTCAGCAACCACGGGGGACGTCTTCCAATCATCATTTCAACATCGTCGCTAAATCTTTCAGAACCTATGGAAAGTTAATTACATAATATAGCGACATTTAATGTCGACATCATAGGAAAATATACAACTTTTCAAGTAATTTGTTTGATGATGACAAAGAAGATATGTTCCTTCTAATATTGTCCTTCCATGTGAAATGTCCTGCCGACGTAGCAATCAAGAAAGCCTGTGGCGTTTACAGAAGAAATGCCACGGACATGGCAATGCAGCCTCTCTGTATGTAGCAGTGAAAGCGTGTCCCACAAATGTTCGATTTTGGGTAACAGAAGGCTTTTCTGTAGCCAAAGCTCGTTGCATGTCCAATGAACTCATTTGGTATTTTTAATTACCATAGATCCAATTAATGGCGACACACTCTAGACAAGAAATGAGCAGTATGTTGAACGAGCACGAATACCAGTCTAATAGCTGAAACAGGTACACACCACCCTGAAAAATGAAAAAAAAAAAGGATGCAAGCATTATTTTATTCAGAAATACAAATCTTTAAGAAAAACAACGGTTCACCACTAAACCTATCTATCTATGTGCAGAAGTCTGCACTGGGAAAACAGCACAACCACCAATTTCAGTCAAAGTCAATTGGCCATGGAAACGCAAAAAACATATTCAGAAATCCAAACCTACCAAAAGTCACCAGTTCACAACCAGACCTATCTTTGTGCCATGTTTGGTGAAGAAATGATAAACGGTTTGAAAGTTCTGCTTCGGAAAAAAACAACACCAACTTCAGTCGAAGTCAAACTTGTTGCCATGGAAACGCAAACAATATTATATTCAGAAATTCAAAACTACCAAAAGTCACAACCAGACCTATCTATGTTCGAAGTTTGGTGAAGAAATATTGAACGGTTATTATGTTCTGTTCTGCTAAAGACGAATTTCTGCAATTTTAATAACACCAAACGCGTTGCGGGAGATAACAAAGGATTAATGATACTGTCTACCCTCCACATAGGAGTTTTGAAATAGTAAACTCTTTCATCAAATTTGTCTGTTCTTCCCAACGTCACAGTTCGTCATTTGACATACATTTTATGGATATACCTCGATGCTATCATGTCTACAGCAACGGGTTCAATTCCTTCTAATTGAGATGTACGGAATAAATATACAACGCATGTTGCTGTTCAAAGCCTCACTTCAGTTGCATAGGGATGGAAATTCCAAAGTTGAACAGGCACACTCCAGCAGTGACATACACCCTTCGATGTTGCAGGTACTTTGGGTACGTTTCTATTATGGCAGATATGATCGTTTCCAAGATACCAAACTGTAATAAAATAGATATTTATAAGCTGTCCATATTTACAATGAATATGGTGTGTTGTGTAAATAAGAAAGTCGCAGTTAACATTTCTTTTGTTTGGCCTCCATACATTATACAGTACATGGCAACGTGATTTCATTCTTGATTAGAATGGTAGTGGCTTGCTCATGGATGACTAAACGGTACCGGTACTATCATACACACACATTTAGTATTATTATAACTAGCGATAGACAACATAACGTGCCAAATAAACTGAAAGAAATATAGTTATATAAGATATACTTTTGGGATGAGAAAAGACCAGGTGAAATCAAATGCCTCAATGGATTTTTTTATTTTGGAAATATTCACCAAACCAAACGTTTGCATGAACATGTTTCAAGTTTGATCAGCTACTGGTCTAAGCTACGGACATTTATTCCAAAATGTATATTTACCGCAGAATCTATTCCCATTGTTAGCAGCATGATGAAGAACAGCACTGCCCACAACTGAGAGACTGGTAGCTGGGCAATTGCTTCGGTCAGGATGATGAACGCTAGCCAAGAACCTGGTACACACAATTACTGATTTAGTAGAGATAGTATTATACATAGTCATATGCATTCAGAGGATATGAGAGTTGTTTCCATCCATATAACGTTCATATGACGTTACCTGATGACCACAAACAATTGTTGTTTGGCAATGATGTTAGGACGCAGTACCGGAAAATGATTAAGCTCGTACGTAAATCAAAACGACAATACAAGAGAATATAATCAAAGTGAAGTATATACAGACAAAAAGGTACTTTCTTTGGTGCATTTTATGGCGCCAATTTTCCAACTTAGTTGTGCGTAACTTCATGTAAAATCAGTACTTTCTGAGAATAATTGGCCCCATTTCCAAACACTATGTCAGTAACAAAAGGCATATGCAGCAAGGGCTATAACTCTGTCAAAGATTGTTGTAAGACAGCAATTGTCTTGGCTTTTTTAGATTATGACCAGCAACGTCATTCTGTATTGAGTTGTCTGACTGACTAAAATATCCCCTTTTTTAGTTGAAAAATGTATGGGCCATAGCCCTTTTCAGACCAGTTATCAGTCATTTAGACTGTGACCAAGTTCAAGTATGTTGTCATAGCTCTTTAACACGGACGGCCCCAATTAAACAGGAGGAACCAGTTAATCTAAGTCATTTAACCACTTTCGAATCCACAGAATTGTTTACCCGATGTCACAACTTCTGATATAGGTATATGAGCCTGATGTGCCATGAAGCCAAGTGTAGAAAAGACCACCAAGGCCACAGAATATACTGGTGGACAATTTTTCACCAATCACAGTGAACAAGTAACATAACACGTCTCTGAAAAGCCTACAATTTTATAACTTTATAACTTGAGTGAGTTGTGATCCATTTATTCGGAACAACGTGACGAAACAATAAAATCTGCATAGTAATTGCCTACTGATGAAGGACAGGTAAAATAACTAGATTAAACACAGATTGAAAATCACAGATTCTATACTTTAACAACGATACAATATCAAAATAGGCTATTGATCTCACATATGTGAGATGTGCAAGAATGAGAGTTGTTAGTTTCGTGATTATAATGAGAACGTGTCTATACATCTTGCAAATGGTACATTGAGAACTAGAGTTAAAATTCATCGTCACATCAGCAATATGTCAGCCATATCGTGACGAGAAAACCTTATACATCAATAGCAAATGTATGACATATATTTAAACGGTATAGAATTCTGTCGTCAAAAGGCAGTATCACACCTATTATATCACATTGTATTTAAAACTCGTTTGGGAGCATATAAAATAGTAAACAGTTAGTTTTTGAACACAATATATAAATGGGGCTACAGATTGCTAACAAATGAAGGCAGCTCACCATACTAGGGACCAAATATATATCTATATTTATTCAACAATTCTCTTTCTAAAATGCAATGATTAAATGTGAATTCATGTCAGAAACAGACTTTCATGTTTTGACATTGGAATACGTATCCCTTGTGATGGAAAACTCACTACAGGCAAGCTGGACATGCTTCATCGTGATTCTTTCATACATTTAGAACTAAATGCTCATTCTGGTTTAATATGGATCATGCTCATGCTCTTTTCTTTCATCATAGATACATCTTATGCACTTCTTCAATGTCTCCTGAAATGTTCACCTGAAACAGTTATTGTGGAAGTTGTTGTAGCTGCTCATGGTGACGAGGCCTCCAAATGATGTACTCATGGAAAAAAATCCTTGCAGCAAAGCCTCCAACCAAACCTTTTAGTGAAATAAGACAATACTTTCATGTTTTGTTGTTGCCTGAGAAGATGATATTATGTGTGTTACATAGGAGGTAATAGGTTATCCTTGTTCTGAAACATGATTTACATGCAGGCGACAAGGCCGTTTGTTGGTTGCTTCTGAAGATGACCATTCCCCGATTGTTATCACATTAATAATACTTGAGCATCTTACTTGTACATTGCCGAGCCGAGAGAAGTCTGGACGAAGGAAATACAGGATACCCTCCCCAGCACCCGGCATCATGCACGACCTGACCAGCAAAGCCGTCAGGAGAACGTAGGGAAGAAGGGCAGTCACGTACACAACCTGGTTTATAGAAATGACAGCAGCATCACTGCCTGTGAATGTTCAAATCCGAACAGGTACATTGCACGTGATGACAAAAAGCAGTAGTCACAGAACTCATCACATAGTCATCACGGGGTTATCTTGTTCAATGAACATCGTTCGACCAGCCACACAGAACATCAATTCGTTTACAATTGAAAAACTATTCAGAAAAGCAAAGGTGTTTAATGTCTCTTCTTGTGAACATCTCATGTCTTATTCGTAAAGGTGTAACAGGAGTGTTAGGTCTTAGGCGTATGATATTGGTATCCCACCTTTCCAACAGACTTCACACCTTTAACCATACACAGAAATGCAAGAACCCACGAGACAAGGATGCAGAGGACCAGATGATTCTGAACTGTTCCGAAATTGTCGATACCGCTCGACACTCGCAGTGTGTTGTACCTGTCGAATCAATTATGTACTTTATCAAGATAGATCAAACTACATTCGATGCATCGCTAAAGCTCTGGGTCAAATGCCACCTAGGACAATTGCCACCAAGGACAACTGCCACCCGGACAATTGCCACCCAAAACATAAAAACATAATTCAGTTTCTTTTCCAACTTTTATTGAGTTTGACATGGTAATCCATAACAAATGGTAACATATTCTGTGTCTTTTATGTAAAGCATCCTTTGCTAATGTTACTTTTGATGGGAATAGTATTTTTATGACTTATGGCACACTACTTGATTTCTTATACAAGCTCTTACATGGTATTATCTATACAAAAAGGAACTTTTTATGATGAAATTTGTTGGCAATTTAGTTTGCTGTTTCTTTAATTAGCTGAAAAAGAGTATTTGTCATGTTCATTGTGAATGCATAAAAACAGAAACATTCCGGAATAGACGTGAAGGTTGGATAAATATTCATATTGGGGACACAATTAAAATAACAAAATACCTTGTTTGGTTCGGAACATTATTGCATTGATGCATAAATTATCTTTTTTATATGTCCAGATTTGCTGAAGTTCGATCAAGAAGTTTGTCCATCAAAATGGTTATGATTACATTTTCTCAAATAAAATTACACAAAAAGTCTGGGTGGCAATTATCTAATAACAGTAAAAGTAACTAGGTGGCAATTCTCGTGGGTAGCAATTGTCATTGGTGGCGATTTTCGTACTGGATGACATTGTAATGGTTCAGCCGTAAATTGTTTTTTCACAGCTAATGATATGATTATCATTTCCATATGAGTTTATCATCTCGATTGTTTTTCTGTTATATGATTATATCTATGACATCTTTAAGTCCTAAGGTAGACTGGACATGGTATGCACATTTATGAACCCATGACGACCTGACGTCGTGTTTACCGTATTCATGTTCGTCAAAGTCTTTATTCCAAGAACTTAAATGTATTGCATTAAATTTCTTTTATCAGGAAAACTATCATTTCTCAAAGCAACCATTAAAACATTCTTCTTTTAAATTGTCAGTATTTCTTAAATAAGCTACAGACTACAAATTCTGTTTTGTGTATTTGTTGTTTAACGCCGCATTCAGCAGTATTTCAGCTATACGTAAATTATCGAATTTCTGGACCGGATTATCTAATGATTACACCATAAGCATGAATCTACACAGTAGAGATCCGACGATATATGTCAACCTTATCAACGCGCCTCACCACCGAATCCGTCCGTCGTCTCGGTTGATCTGTTCATAGTGAATTAATGCTGAGCTTCAGTGTGGAGCCTCAAATATTGTCTATGTGTTTGGCGTAAATAAAACGCCATGTTGCAAACAAAGAAAACAAGTTGAGTGTACAACCTTCAATCAAAACTATTTTACTTCTCATCAAAAGTTTTGACTCACTAGTGTAAATATAGCCACTTACTTCAGGCAACTGTTCTAAACTAAATTTTGCAAACTATGCCATACTGTTTAAAAGCACTGTTTACACATGAACTGATGTATTATAAAACAAATTCGTAACGTTGAAAATTTGGCGAATTTGTAACAAGACTTTACACCACAACGCCGCTGTGCACGATATTTGCACATGCTTTTGAGCAATTTGATGCATGATCCTCATGCAATTCAGGTGCGTAAAGTTTGCAGTTGGTTCCCCCAAGTTAGTGCAGAAATGAATCTTCGATGTAACCATATATATATAATTATATATATATATATACATACACACACACACACACACACACACACACACACACACACACATATAACATATAGTGAGTGCTGTAAGTGAGTCTAAACTTTTGAAGAGTAGTATATTAATACTCAGTGGGAGTCACTAAACAAAACTGCACCAAGATATTTGGATTATCCCAAATGGATAAAATAGAACTATTTGAACAAATGACATTGGGAATGCTGTTAGTTCAAGTGCTCACAGACTTATTGTTCCCTATGAAACGGTATAACGTCCACGTCTCTCAACGCATTTTTCCTGTTTGTATTTTTTATGTGTGGTTAAAGTGGTCCACAATCTCCGACACGTGAGGGGTTATGACACCATATCCCCAAGTCTGGTGATCTGCCTTCAGTTGCGTGAGATCTTTTACCAGCTTTTACAATGTAATGCTGAGAACTGACCAGTGTTCCTGTTCACATGTGTTGTCTTTAGTCGGTATCTGCGTTATTCTTTACCATTCCTTGTCGACAGGTTATATAATCTAACACTATTTATTGTTTATATGTATCTTGGTTTAGTCACGACATGGTTCAAATGTTACCGATCGACTTTGAATCTGACTCTCTGGTCACTCAATGTCGGTAGGCCTGTGATGGGAATGTGTATGAAGTGTGGGGTGTGCTTGTAATGGGGATGAGCAAGCCATTCATACATTATTCACTGATTTTTCATTAAACGGACTTCGTTTATGACGATTGTCCAAATTGGTTATCCTGTTGCACTGACTATCTATATTGTGACCATAACATACGACCTTTGTCTAGTATTACCAGTCAAATGGCACAGGTCTGACTCATATTCTTTCATTTAAACATTATTACATGTCACTAAAACCTCGGATCTTACTGCCAAAATTCCTCTGATGCCGTCAACGTCACATTGGGCTTCCGCCATACAGAGTTGAGCAGCCGAGGATCCTCCGTACTGTTAGTCAGGTAGGCGGCAGTGATTGATGAGCTGTTGCTAAGCTTAGTGACGCACAGAGGCGTGTTCCACCAGTTGTCGCATGTTGTCCATGGCAACACAGACAAAAATGATTTGTACAAGTAGTAAACAGACCAGGCAATAATGAGGTTGTAAGGCAGGGATGATATGAAACAGGTTGCAACCTGAGTGATGCCAATACCTGAAAATAGAGTGTTATTCAGTCATGTAAGACTAGTGTTGTAATTTTATTACATTGGTACTGTTCAGATTCAGAAGAGGGTATATGTTGGGAGTTTCTAGAGCAGCCAGAATAATGTTAAATAAAACGTATGTTTCCGTGTGCAAACAGTCCTATACAAAATATGGATTCATTGATATTCCCTAACATGATACAGCTATACATCGGATACATTAGTGTCATAAATAATAATACATTTGAAACAGTGAAATGGAAGTCTGAAAACATTTGTTGATTGGATTGCCTGTGCAGAAAGGGTATATACTAACCTTTAAGCAAAGGACAAATGGACCAAGCATATAATGCACTCCTGCTCGAGAACTGGCCAATGGAAGCCTCAAGGAAGAAAAGTGGAACGGAACACGTGAGAATCCCAGCAAAGTAGGGAATAAGAAACGCACCTGGTAAATAGAACATTCTTTGTGAGTTTTAAAGACAAAATGAAATGTTGATTCAATAAAATGATACGTTTGTTAGACTTTCCAGTGCGTGGTGTGCTTGTGAAGTGTATTTCTGTACATATTCTAACCACTTTGCAAAAGGCCCTGATAGTTGATTGTTGTTTAACGTCTCACCCATAAATATTCCAGCTGTATGGCGGCAGTCTGTAAATATTTGAAGAATTTCACGATCAGGCTTGCAGTGCCACGTATTGCTTCTATAATATATGGTTCGTACACTTATAATTTAAAGATAAAAAAACAGGTTGCGAAACGAATTGTGAAAAACCCTCAAACTACTTCCTCCATTTGGAACACAGAAACTTTCTAAATAAATCCATCCGAATTCTCGAAAGAGAGGACGGAACAAAAGTAAAAAAACTAAAGTGAAATTAGGAAAGAATAAGAATATATTATATTAAATTATACAAAACAGAAGATTGTACACAGATTGACCTTGAACATTTATTTTCTGAAGATTTAGTGCCAAAAATCTTTTAGATGGATCTCCATAAATATTTGATTAATGCCCTAAATTATGCATATAAAACAGGATCCTTATCCGTATCTCAAAAACAAGGCCTGATAACTTGTATACCTAAAGAAAATAAATGCAAAATGTATTTGAAAAACTGGCGTCCCATCTCCTTTTTAAATACAACCTTTAAGTTAGCCGCAACTTCATTTGCTAATAGGTTAAAACCAATTCTGCCATTAATCAGTCATGAAGATCAGAAAGGATTTGTGAAAGGTAGATATAAAGGCGAAGTAACTAGGATTATTTAGGAAGTTTATCCAAAATGTTTTGAACTTTTTCAGCTTTGGACCAAGCATTCAACAATGAATAAAACTCTTTTCTGCAGATGTTGAGTCTAGTGTGTTAGTAAATGGGTTTGCAACCCCCTTTTTCAGTGTCACAAGTGGTTGTCGTCAGGGATATATCGCCCTAAATATTTATTCTTTGTGCCGAAATCTTAACAATAATGATTAGATATAATAGTAAGATAACAGGAATTTAAATAGGCAACATAAAATCTCTACTGGCACAATTTGCAGATGACACACCACTCGCTTTAGATGGATCTGAAAAAAGTCTCTACGCTACAATGAACACTTTATCTTTTTTTGCTAGATTTTCAGGGTTAAAAGTTAATGCTGAAAAAGCTAAATTGATTTGGATAGGGTCAAAGAAAAGGTCAAGATATAAACTATGTGAGGATTGGAATTTTCACTGCATACAGACACAATTAAAGCTAGTTTGCATAGAGTTTGATGTGGAATTAGAAAAAAATGGTTAGCCTAAATTACACAAATAAATTTGTTAAAATAGAAAATGAAATGAAACTATGGGCAAAGAGAACATTAACACTATTTGGTAGAAATCTAGTATTAAAATATTTGCTTCTACCCAAGCTTAATCATCTTTTCAGCAATATACCTACTCCGCCCAAACATATAATAGAACATTTTCAGAAAAAATGTTTTCAATTTATCTGGACGTTTAAACTAGACAAGATCAAGAGGGAGGTAATGGCACTACAGCCAGAATATGGTGGCATTAGTGTACCTGTTGTAGAAAAAGTAGTTGCGGCTCAGAAATTAGGATGGATTAAAATAGTATTTACTCGTAAA